TTGAGGTTGCTGTGAGCTAGGCTGACGCCACGGCACTCACTCTAGCCTGGGCAAAAGAGTGAGACTCTGTCTCAAAAAAAAAAAAAAAAATCAAGATGAGACATCACCACGTGTCTATTAGAACGTCTATTATCAAAAAGACAAAAAATAAGTGTTGGCGAGGGTGTGGAGAAAACAGCACTCTTGTACACTGTTAGTGGGAATGTAAATTAGTACAGCCATTATGGAAAACAGTATGAGGGTTCCTCAAAAAATTAAAAATAGAACTACCATATGATCCAGCAATCCCACCTCTGCACGTATATCCAAAGGAAATAAAATCAATATCTCAAAGAGATATCTGCAATCCCAAGTTCACTGCAGCATTATTTAGAATAGTCAAGATATTGGCATTAACCTAAGTGTCCAACAAGGTATGAATGGATAAAGAAAATGTGATGTATATATACAATGGAATACTATTCATCCTTAAAAAGAAGGAAATCCATGTGACACCATGATGATGGATGAATCTGCAGAACATTAAGCTAAGTGAAATAAGCCAGACACTGAAAGACAAATATTGTATGATCTCACTTATATGTAGATTCTGAAAAAGTTGAAGTCAGAGAAGCAGAGAGTAGAATGGTGGTTGCCAGGGGCCGGGGAAGGGGATGAAGAGATGTTGGTCAAAGGGTAGAAAGTTTTAGTTAGACATTATGAATAAGTTCTGGAGCTCTGTTGTACAACATAGTGACTATAGTTAATAATAATATGTACTTGAAAATTGGTATGAAAATAGTTCTTGAATGTTTCTCCATAAAAAAATAACAACTATATGAGGTGATGGATATATAAATTTGCTTGATTATGATAATCTTTTCATAATGTACACATATATCAAAACATCACTTTATATACTATAAATATATATAATTTTGTCAATTATATATCAATAAAGCTGGACAAATGGGAAAAAATAATACAGATGGTGTAGAATTAGAATGTTTCTATCTAACACAAAGAAATGATAGATGCTTTAGATGGATAACCCAATTACCCTGATTTGATTAATATATATTGTATGCCTGTATCAAACCATCATATGTACCCTATAAATATATACAATTATATACCCATAATAATTAAAAATAAAAATAAATAAGAATATAGATGGTAAAAGTGGGATGAGAAATTAGATTTTCCACAGTTTCAAAGTATCACCCACAACATACTTATAAATAACAAAGAGAAAAATGCTCAAGTTTACAGTGAAAAAGCCTGGAAGACACCATCTTAATCAAGAGATTAAAGTTAACACTACCAATCATAGTACAAAGCAATCCTTTATGCCACCCAATAGGAAGACATGAAGAAAACAAAGAATCTATTCTGTGATTTTTCTGGCCCCAAATTTATAACCTGGTCTAATCATGAGGAAACTTTGGATAAAGCCATATTAAGTCACATTCTACAAAATGGCTTTAATCTTCAAAACTGGCAAAGTAATGAACATCAAGGTAAGAATGAGGAAGTGTTCCAGATTGAAGGAGACTAGAGACTGTATGTAATCCTAGATTGAATCCATTTCTATATAGCACATTATTGGAAAATGTGAATGGAATCTGTGGACAAAGGGTACACAGGAGTTATTTGTGCTATTCTTGTAACTTTCCTATAAATATTAAATTGTTTTTAAAATTTTTAAAGCCTAGAAGAGTATCTGTCACATAATAGGCAACATATAAATATTCACTGAATTAAGTTCTACATTATAACACAGAATTTGGAGGAGAAAGTAAGACCAATCTCACAAGTAGGTACAACTTATAGGACACTAGGAACATTCTCCCTAATGTATAACTACATATATCTCTATTTATTAATTCCCTCTTTGACAGTAAAGACTGAAGTAGATATAGGCATTGAAATAGAGGAGAAAGAATGGAAAATGAAGATAAAGTGGAAAAGCAAAAAACTATAAATTTAGGAATTTTGATGAAATCCAATCCAGGAAGCAGGTTTTATCCTATCAACTCTCTCACACCTCCAAATCTCAATATAGAAAAATACTATGGCAGTGACATGATTAACTGCTCTCAACCTTGTCAGCAGGAAAATAAACTCATTTTTCCTTATTTTGTTATGTAGCATGAAATATGAAGGAAATATTATCCAAATGATTTGACAATAAAAGGGAAAGCAAAGAAATTTTAAGAAATAACCCATATCACTTTTTCGAATGCCCTTTCTAGTAAAGAGCAAGGGAAGCAAAATATTTCAAAGATCAGCTAAGCAAGTACAACTGATCTCAAATAGAATCTCCAAAAGTTTGCATGAAGTAGTAATGATTCTTTCTGGAACTTAATATAGCATATTTTCAAACTCTTAGACAATAAATGCAGAGATTTCACTCACCATTTTGGGGAGCCTCATCAACATATCTTTACAACGCAGTACACATGTAGATGCTCTTTCAAAATCCCCTTGAGCAATTGCCTGAGAAAGAGAAAAAATGTCAATCATTGGTTAAAATCAAAAGACAAGGTATTTGTCTCTAAGTCAATGTTTGCATACTTTAGTGTTAAAAAGTCTTATTTTGTTTTTTAATCTTTTTAGCAATGCTAGTTGGTCAAGCTAAACATAACAGCCCATTCAAAATACAGAGGAAGCCGTGGTAAGAATATTTGGCAACGCAGAGTTGATTCTGAGTGAGCAGAAGTCATTTACTTTTTCTGGAAATGCAGAAACTGGTGTACTACCTTATGTTATTGTATTATGACATAATGTCATGTCTAATAGATGCTTCTCCAACTTGAGTAGCTCTTCTATTTATCTCTATACTACAGGAATTAAGTTAAACAGCTATCTTTTGTCCTAAAACAAGCTAACAATAATCTCATAATCTTAACTGCTGTGTATATCCACTATGAAAAGCAGCTCAGTGCAATCTCATCTTGAAGCCCCAAGACCTACTCTGCCACTCGTTATGTGTAACCTTGAGCCTTAAGCTCTCACAGATTCAGTTCCCTCGTCTATAAAGTGAGGAGAGTTTAGGGTTCCTTCAGGTTCTACCATACTGTGACTGAACACCCCCAAATGGAACAACAATCACACATTATTTAAGCACTTACAAAAGAGG